GTATAATTCACAGGGGCTGGCCCCGTGGCCGAGTGGTTAAGTTCGCGCGCTCCGCTGCAGGCGGCCCAGGGTTTCGTTGGTTCGAATCCTGGGCGCGGACATGGCACTGCTCATCAAACCACGCTGAGGCAGCGTCCCACATGCCACAACTAGAAGGACCCACAACGAAGAATATACAACTATGTACCGGGGGGCTTTGGGGAGAAAAGGGAAAAAAAAAATAAAATCTTAAAAAAAAAATCAAAAAAAAAAGTATAATTCACAGTGGGAGATTATATCTCTTTCAGGAAATGTATCAAATTAACAAAAATAATTAAAGGTAAAAAAAGATACGAAAATTATCAATAAGTTACATTTAACAGACATAAAAAGAACACTGTATCTTACAAGTAGACTACATCATCTCTACTCCTATGTCCTTGCATCATTAAGAAACATTCAACTGTCTAACTTAGTCTCAGAGAAATGATTGATACATTTTTAAAATAGGGCTTTGGGGCCGGCCCCGTGGCCGAGTGGTTAAGTTCACGCGCTCCACTGCAGCAGCCCAGGGTTTCACTGGTTTGGATCCTGGGTGCAGACATGGCACTGCTCATCAAGCCATGCTGAGGCGGCGTCCCACATGCCACAACTAGAAGGACCCACCACTAAAAATACACAACTATGTACCCGGGGGCTTTGGGGAGAAAAAGGAAAAATAAAATCTTTTAAAAAAAAAAAGATCCAATAAAAATAGAAATAAATTAAAATATTACCAAAATATCTTAACCAGTTGGAAATTGAGACACTTTCCTAAATAAATCAGGACTAAAGGGGTCTATGTTATATAAACACTACCGGTCTTTAGAGAAAGATGGAAATTTCTCAATTTATTTTGTAAAAGGATAATAACCTTAAAACCATAACTGAAATATATATCTCAAAAAAGAAGATAACTAGAAACAATCTTTCATGAATATGGATGAAAATTTCTAAATAAAATATCAGCATATCAAATCCAGATGTGTCTCAAGAAAAAAATACACCATAAGCATTAAGATGGTTCCAGGAGTGCTAGCATGGTTTAATATTTATAAGTCGATCAACATAATTCATTACACCAATACTTTAGGGAAGCTACACAATGCCATTAATTAATATTTTTAAAGTATATGGTACAATTCAGTAGTTGGTATATTAATTACAAAAACTCAAAATAGCAGTAGAAGGAAACTGCTTAAAATTGACAAAATCATTTTCTAAAAATTGCCAGAAAACTTTATACTAAACGATAAAATGTTTAAAATAATTTCCATTAAAATTGGCGACAAAATAGGGATGCTCTCTACCACATTTATTACTCAACATTATTTTGAAGGCTCTATCTCAGTGTTGCCCAATACGACTTTCTGCAATAATGGAAATGTTTTACATTTAGCACTGTCCAATACCGCAGCCACTAGACATATGTGGCTACTGAGCACTTGAGATGTAGCTAGGCGACTGAGAAACTGAATTTTAAATTTGACTTAGTTTAAAGAAATTTAAATTTAAATAGCCACATAAGCTTAATGGCTACCGTGTTAGACAGCTAATACAACGGAAAAAGAAGAAACAATCACAGAAAATATCAGATAAAAGAGAGAATATTATCTATGTCTGATTTGATTGTACAACTAGAAAACCTAAGAGACTATGCTAAGAAGCTACCAGAATTGGTAGGTAGTTTTGATAAAGAGCTGGATACAAGATAAAATTATAAAAATAGGTACTTTCTTCCTATACCGGCAGTAAGCAGATGGGATTAGCAAAAATAAGTCTTAACAACAACAAAAAACATCATAAATATCTAAGAATAAATTTAACGAAAAAAAATGATGGGGATACTGTGCCCCATATATAAGGAGAAGACTATAAAATATTATTTCAGTATTTAATACAAGACAATCAAACAGACACACACCAAATCCCCAGGGACAAAGGCTTATTATAACAAAAAGCACAAACTCTCCCCAAACTATTCTATTAACATGACACAATTCCAATCAGAATCACGATAGTTTTGTTTCGTTGGGGGTTTCTTGGCAGGGGTAGTAGCATTCATTTTGAAACTTGATAAAATGATTTTAAACTTCAAAGAGTTCCTAGAAAAATAAATTTACAAGAACAAAAATCCTTTGAAATCAGATTACTGAGATGCAATAGAGTTCAGATCAAGCGAAAGGTATTTGTGACCTTCCATGAGAGGAGTGGTATTTAATCCAGTGGATACCCGGCAGTGTGTTCCACAAACAGTGAAGGTTAAGAAATTTGCTTACTCTTTTGGCTTCTGGAAAATGGCTTACTGCAAAAACCCCCCTTCCATTCATGACGTAGATAGGACTCACAGACGCCCTCCTTGTTTGCCTGTGACACAGACCCTCCAAGTTCCCACTCTTTGCCTCATAAACTCTGATTAATCAGGACAAAATTCTTGTTGGCCAAACTTTAGTCAGGCTTCTCTCTTTCCTACAGGCTCCTGGACTCTGCTTGCCCCCAAGCCTGAGCAAGCACAAAAAAATGTGGACCGTGCCTCCCTTCTCAGCTTGTCCTGGGAATTGGCTGACCGCAGTGGACACTTTCTTGTCAGACCCCACTGGTCATTCCCCTACTTGTGCAGCCTCTTCTCCACAGAGTCTCCTTATCTCCACTCGCCTGCTCCTTGCCCTATTTATAAAAGCAAAAGTCTTTTTCTGTGTGGTTGAGATGCGTGCAGATTTCTGAAATGGGAGCTTTCTCCCTATTGCAATGTCTTTCTTTCTAATCAGTCTCTCCCTGTCTACGTCCGGATTTGTTTTTATTTGACATAGCAAAAACAAAGCTTGACCCTGACCTCATACCATACACCAGATCAAACTCAACTAGATTAAAGGTTGACATAGAAAAAATTAAAACAATAAAAATGAAATAAATGTTAAGACTATCTTTTTAGGACTACCTGGAATGGGGAAGGGAGACTATGCAAGACAGGAAATACAAAAGCCAGAAAAGAAAGCTTAGGCATTTCTTTTTTACTTTTCTTTCTTTCTTTCTTTCTTTTTGTTTTTTGAGGAAGATTAGCCCTGAGCTAACATCTGCTGCCAACCCTCCTCTTTTTTCTGAGGAAGACTGGCCCTGAGCTAACATCCGTGCCTATCTTCCTCCACTTTATATGTGGGACGCCTACCACAGCATGGTGTGCCAAGCGGTGCCATGTCCGAACCCGGGATCCGAACCAGCGAACCCCGGGCCGCAGAGAAGCACATGTGAATTTGACCGCTGTGCCACCGGGCCAGCCCCTGCTTAGGCATTTCTGATGAGGGAATACATTTTTCTAATTACAGCTCAAAGGACACCGATAAAATGCAAAGAACAAGAAAAGTTGAGGGGAAAATACTGCAATGCAACTAACAAAAGGGTTAATATCCCTAATGTACAAAGAGCTTCTACAAATTGATAAGAGAAAGACAAATCACTCCAAAGAAAACTGGACAAACGATGCGAAGATTTGCAGAAGAGAAAATTAAATGGTCAACCAGCAGAAAAAGATTCTCAGTTGCACAAGGAGTCAGGAAAATGCAAATTAAAGCAATTAAATACTACTGGCCCTCAGATTGGCACAAATTAAAGACAACATCAACCAACATCCAGCACTAGAGGCTTGTTTGTCTTAAGGAACTCATATTTTGCTGGTGGGAGTAGGAAATGTTACAACCATTTGGGGGAAGTGATTTGACTATATCTATTTAACAACAAAATATCCTTACCTGCATTTGATAATAAAATTTCAAAATATGGGAAGCAAAAATCGACTGGTGCCATGAAAACCTGATTTATTAACAATACAGTGGGAGACTCTCTTCTCTCAGTAACTTATTGGGCAAACAGAAGAACATCATCAGGGAGAATATATACATTGTAAACAGCCCAACTAACAAGTTTGAACCAATAAACACACATGCTAAACCCAACAACTGGAAAATACACAGTCTTTTCAATCAAGAAATGAAGCATTTTTTAAAACTGCATCTGCACTTGAGCCGTTAGGCAAGTGTCAACAAATTTCAAAGACTCAGCATCATTCAGACAACGTTCTCAGACCCCAATGCACTTAGGTTAGAAATCAGTAACATCAGGGGCCAGCCCGGTGGCGCAGTGGTTAAGTTCGCACGTTCCGCTTCTTGGTTGCTTGGGGTTTGCCGGTTTGGATCCCGGCTGTGGACATGGCACTGCTTGGCACACCATGCTGTGGTAGGCGTCCCACATATAAAATAGAGGAAGACGGGCACGATGTTAGCTCAGGGCCAGGCTTCCTCAGCAAAAAGAGGAGGACTGGCAGTAGTTAGCTCAGGGCTAATCTTCCTCAAAAAAAAAAAAATCACTAACATCAGATTAATTTTGTGTTTGGGGGAATGATAAATGGTGTCAGGAACTGTAAAATTTTCTATACTCCCTCTAAATTCCTTCTTTGAGTCATTAATTCTGAGAACAGGATGAGAGAGACTGAGACGGGCCAAAGCGCAGACAGCTCCTTTGGGCAGCATTTCAACACCTGCGGGCCCAAGCTGCCCAAGCGTGCAGGTGGCGCTCGCCGCTTTTGTTTCCTCCCCCTATAAAACTCCCGGTGCTCCAGACACTGCCCTGGGCTGTTCTCCCCGACGCAGCAGCCCGGATAACGTACCTATCCCCTTGCCCTTTGAGTCTCAGAATTTTTGCAAGTTCGACAATGGACTTCTAAATAATTCTGAGTCAAAAGGGGAAAAAAGTTACAAATTAGCACTTGAAACTGACCACTAGTGAAAAGAAAACAAATCACAACTTGGATCTTTAGAAGAGAACTTTAGTCTTCATGCTTCTATAAGGAAACCAGGAAGGGTGATTACTCGATTTTTAAAAAATTGGATGCAATGCCCCACCACTGATGTCACAGACCCCCCAATTACTCCGTCCACAGATACTTGGTCCCTGGCGCGAAATCACCCCAGCTCCCCGCGCCCAGAAAGGTTAAACTCTCGCTGCGGGCGACTTCCGCTTCCTGGCCTAAATCTGACACGTACTATTCCCCCCGTGGCAACTACCCAGGGTCGGTGACAGCCGAGGAGCCGGGCGATGCCCTCAGCCGACGGGGGGACAGAGGCGCCGGCAGGTGGGCACGCAGCGGCGCCCCAGGCTCCGCCGACGCGAGCCGCCCGCCGCGACCCGGGGACGTCGGGCATCCCCGGGAAGTGGAGCCGGGGCGGGGGCCCGGGCGGGGGCGGGCCAATTTCTGGGCCCGCTGCTTGGAGGAGCCCTTCTAGCTAAGATGCGACGGAGGGGGGATCTTGCGACCAGTGCCGAGCCCCGGCTCCCTGGGGACACGGCCTGAGGGCGGGGCCCCCCAGCGCCGAGCTGGGGAAGCGCCCAGCCCGCGCCTGGGCTGTAGCGGGGAGAGGCGGCGGAGGCGGCAGAAGTTCGGGTGCCACAGTCTGGCCCGATCGGCTACTGGGAAGTCCCACAGGGGAACATCGGCCAGGGGATCGCCAGCTCTGCGGCAGAAATGACCACCTTTCCAAGATGGCGACTCCCGTAGAGACACTCCCAAGGGGACAGCCATGTTAGTTGCTTGACTAAGTCACTAAAGAAAATTTGAAAGCCCGCCTCTCCTCCGACACACACACACACGCTCGCACTAACACACCGTAAGTGCACCCTGTGTAATTGTGGGCGGACGGCCGCTTCCACGCTGACACCGGGCATGTGCAGGATGAAGTCCAGAAACGGAGGAGTCCCTCAGAGGCAGTTTCCAGACTTAGGGCTCCAGGACTGAATTTAACAAAGGCGGCGATTTAGGACCAGTGAAGCATTGACATAGTTATGAGGGTGTTAGGATATGGATTTCGTACTCAATGAGGGTACTCTGTAGGGTGAGTGATGGGGTTTCTCTGGGGTCACTTAGGAGGATGTGCGTAGGGTGAGCGCCAAGGCTTTGTGGCTGAGTGATGGGGTGGATGGGGAAAGTGCTAGGAAGATAGGGAGACGAGTGAGTATGGGAGGTCTGTAGGGTAAGTAGTGCAGAGCCTGTGAGGTGAGGGATGGGGGAACTGTGGGGTGAGCATTGCGGGGATCTTATGGGGTCAGTGATGAGAATCCTCGGAGGTCACTAATGGGGTGTTTGGGGTAAGTGATTGGATCTGTGGCCCAAGTGATGGGGGTCTGTAAGATGAATGATGGGGGTTCTGTGGGGTGAGTCACAGGAGCTTAGTGGGGTAAGTGTTGGGGGTCTGTAAGATGAACGATGGAGGTTCGGCAGGGTGAGTGATGAGGCTCTTTGGGGACAGTAAGGGGAGTCTGTGGAGTGAATGGTGGAGAGGCTGCTGGGTGAGTACTGGAGAGTCGATGAGTGAGTGAGGGATGACCACCGTGGCCGCGAGCGTTGCAGAGTCTATGAGGTGCATGATGGGATTGATTGGATGGATGGGCAAGGTGTCTGTAGTGTGAGTGATGGGTTCTTTGGAGTGAGTGATGCATTTGTTAGGACTAGTGATGGAAGGGCCTTTGGAATCAAATAAGCTGCTTCCTGGTGCCAGTGATAGGCAATCTTTAGCTCTGAGACGGAGTTGTTTCAAAAACCTCCTTTTGACTCCGTTGGTCCTCTCGTATCTTTGTTTTCTGTGTCGTTAATTTCTGCCCTTGATTTCATTTTACTTCTTTTCCTTAGGGTTTTTCTTTTATGCTTCTTTTTTTCTTGAGGAAGATTGGCCCTTGGCTAATATCTGTGCCAATCTTCCTCTCTTTTATGTGGGATGCTGCCACAGCATGGCTTGACAAGCAGTGCTAGGTCCTCACCCGGGGTCTGAAGCTCCAAACTCAGGCACTGAAGTGGAGTGCTTGAACTTAACCACTAGGCAACCAGCCTGGGCCCCTTTTATTCTTATTTTTTAATTCCTAAATTGAATGCTTATCTCATTTAATATTCAATCATTTTCTTCTATAATATAAGCATTAAGTTTGTGAATTTTTCTCTAAGAACACTTTAGTTGCATGTCACAAGTTTTGATATTTGGTGTTTTCACTAGAGTTTACTTCTAATGTTTTCTAATTTCTCTTGTGGTTTATCTCTGATCCTTTAGTTGTTTAGATGTGAGATTTCAGTTTCCCAAAAAGTTGAAATTTTTGTTACTGATTTCTAAATTACAGTCAGAGCCTGTGATCTGAGTGATTATTAGGCGCAGGAATGGATGCTCCTTAAAGTGGATGGTATGTATTCAACTTTAAGTTAAATTATTTTCCAAAACTTTTGTAAAATTGGAACTCCCACCAGCAACATATAAAAACACTCATTCCAAGATCCTCTCCCACACTGAATGTTGCTGCTTTTTAAATTTTCCCCATTCTGAGGGCCAAACACAACAGTATCTAGTTTACTTTGATGTACATTTTCCTGACAACTAGTGGTTGAACATCTTCTCATATTTATTGGCCACTGAAATGTATTTTCTAGAATTTTCATATCCTTTGCTCTTTTTTTCCTCTAGCTGGTTTGTCTTTCTCACTAATTTGTGAATATTAACCTTCTGTCATTTATTGTACTTTTTTCCTTTATCTCTCTTTATATCTTGATTTTTGAAAGGTGTCTTCACATGTAATTAAGAAAAAAAATCATCTGATTAGATATATCTGTCTTTTTCCTTTACAGGTTCTGCGTATCTTGTCTTGCCTAGTGAGTTCTCTCTGCTTTGTGCTTAAACAAATATATGCCTTAAATTTAATATTTTTATTGTTTGAATTTTTAAAGTTAAATTTTAATTCAACTGAAATTTATTTGGGTGTGTGGTGTGAGATGAGACCAAAATTTGTATTTTCCATTTGGATAGAAAAATTGCCAGCACCAATCATTAAATGAATACCTTTTACTACCTCAGTTAAATGCCATTTTTGTCACATAAATTCCCAAATGTATACTGTTCCATTTCTGAATTCTACTTTTTCTTGTGATGTATGTATCTACTCCCTTTCAAAAAAATTGCATTGATTTTAGAAATACTTTTAATATCAAGTAGTGCTAGCCCCTTGTTCTTTTTTTTTTTTTGGTTGTTTTCTTTAATATTCTTTAGCATTTATTCTTCTATATGAATGTTAAAACTATTTTATTTCATGTTAAAAGTCACCATTAAAACTATAATATTTTTATGGTTTTCTTCTTATAGATCCAGCACCTTTTCTAAAAAAGCTCATGCTTAGGAGCTGACCCAGTGGCGCAGCGGTTAAGTTCACACATTCCGATTCAGCAGCCTGGGGTTCGCCAGTTCGGATCCCAGGTGCGGACATGGCACCGCTTGTCAAGCCATGCTGTGGCAGGCGTCCACATATAAAGTAGAGGAAGATGGGCACAGATGTTAGCTCAGGGCCAGTCTTCCTCGGCAAAAAGAGGAGGATTGGCAGCAGATGTTAGCTCAGGGCTAATCTTCCTCAAAAAAAAAAAACTTCATGCTTAGATATTTTGCATTTGTTTTTGTCATCGTGGTGAATAGCATATATTTTCTATTTCCATAGAATAAAACTATCAATTTTTGTAATTTCTTTCTTTTTCATATTTTATTTCCTATCCAATCCAATTATCAAATTCTCATGTGAATTCTAGTTGCTTGTTATAGTCTCTTAGTTTTCCTAGATCTAATATCATATCACATCCAGTTAGCAGTGATACTCTCTCTGCCTTTCAAATACTTATTCTGATTACCTCATCTTCTCCCATTGCATTAGCTAGAGCTTTCGGAACAATGTTGACTGATATTTGATAGAGGGTATCCCTATCTTGTTGACAGCTTGAAAGTGAAAAGTGATCATTCATTCATTCAACAAACATTTATTGAGTACCATCCTCTTGCCAAATATTGGGTTTGAAATCCTGCACAGCCATTTACCAGCTACATGATCTTTTTTTTCTAACAACTTTATTGATATAATTTGCCTACCATAAACTTCACCCATTTAAAGCTTACAATTCAGTGGGTTTTGGTATATTCATAGAGTTGTTCAATCACTACCACAATCTAATTTTAGAATATTTCATCACCCCAGAATGAAATGTGGTGCTCATTCCTCATTCCCACCACATACCCCCAGCTGCAGGCAACCACTCATTTTCTTTCTGTCTCTATAGATTTGCCTATCCTAGACTTGTCATATAAATGGAATCATACAATATGCGGTCTTTTGTGACTGGCTTCTTTCACTTAGCGTAATGTTTTCAAGATTCATCCACACTATACCACGTATCAGCATTTCATTCTGTTTTATTACTGAATAATACTCCCTTGTATGGATATATCACATTTTGTTTATCCATTCATCAGTTGATGGACATTTGGGCTGTTTCCACTTTTGGGCTGTGGTGAATAATGCTGCTGTGAACATTTGTATACGTTTTGTGTGGACATATGTTTTCATTTCTCTTGGGAGTGGAATTGCTGGATCATATGCTACCTCTGTGTTTAGCATTTTGAAGAACTGCCAAACTGTTTTTCAAAGTGGCTGCACCATTTTGCATCCCACCAGCAGTGTAAGAAAGTTGCAATTTGTCACATCCTCACCAACACTTGTTATTGTCTTTTTGATGCTAGCCATCCTACTTCGTGCGAAGTGGTATCTCATTGTAGCTTTGATTTCTGTTTCCCTAATGACTGCTGATGTTGAGCATCTTTTCATGCGCCATGGACTGAATGTTTACGGCCCCTCAAAATTCTTACATTGAAACCCTAATCCCCAATGTGACGGTATTAGAAGCTGAGGCCTTTGGAAGGTGATCAGGTCATGAGGGTGGAGCCCTCAGGAATGGGATTAGAATCCTTAGAAAAGAGACCCCAGAGAACCCTCTGCCCCCTTTTGCTGTGTGAGGACACAACAAGAAGATGGCCATCAGTGAACCAGGAAGTGGGTTCTCACCAGACACCAAATCAGCTGGCACTTTGATCCTGGACCTCCCAGCCTCCAGAACTGTGAGAAATAAATGTTTGCTGTTTAAGCCACCCAGTCTATTACAGTTCATTATGGCAGCCAGAATGCACTAAGACAGTGTGCTTATTGCCCATTTGTACATCTTCTTTGGAGAAACATCTATTCAAATCCTTTGCCTTTTTTTTTTTTTTGGAGGAAAATTAGCCCTGA